ACAGGCAAGAGAGGTCACCTGGCTGCTTCTAGCCACAGTGGCCCCTGGTGACCAGGAGGAACTATAGTAGCTCTTTGCCTACAGCTTGCTCACAGCCCAGCTAAGCACAGGGGATGCCTGCTGAGCTGCAGGCAGGTGGGACTAGGGTTGCCAATTTTAGTTGGATGTATTCCTGGAGGGTTCCTCAAGTGACATCATCTTTAATTAAAGATTAATCTTTAATTCCTGGAGACCACAGGACAATCCTGGAGGGTTGGCAACCCTAGGTGGGATGGGGTGGCAAGATGCATGACACTTGGTAGCCCTGCCCCTGTGAGGTAGGGAAGTGTTATTGGGGAACTCAGCATCTCCCACCTGCTTTATATCAAGGGAGGAGATGGTTTGCTCTTTAGCCTTTCATTGCTTATATCAGTGCTGTCCAGTCTTAGTAAATGAAGCCTGGCCACTTCCATAACCCTCATCCACTCAGTGTGGTATTCTGTCCCGCTCAGTGGGGGCTGGGTCACATAAACATTGATGAGCTGGTTGCAGGCTATGTTCCCTCTAAGCTGCGCGGCCACACAGCAGGCTATCAAGGGCTGTGTAGGGGCCTGGACTGGTGAGGAGAGAGGTAGGGAGTATGCAGGGCTGCGACAGGGAGAGGTGCCTGGCTCCTGGCCCCGGCTGATACAGTGAGAGAAGGCTGGGGGCAGTCCTCTCTCCCTGCCACAGCCCCCGGGGCAGCCTGCACGCCAAACCCCTCATCCCCAGCCCCACCCCAGAGCCTGCACCCCCAGCTGGAGCCCCCTGCACTTCAACCCTGTTCCCCAGCCCTGAGCCCACTCCAAACCCCTTGGCCCCACTCCCACCACCCATCACCTCCATATTGGTGCACATAACAAAATTCATTCCGCACATGAACTGTCCTTGCCTACCCCCAACATAATTAAACATGCAACATAATTAAATTCACCCTGCAGTCCAGGTGGCTGCTTTATCTCTCCCAAACTCATTAGCATACCTGCTTCTAGAGAGACTATACAGGCCTGACACATTCCATTGCCAGTGACTGCTGCTAAGGGAGGGAGAGTATTTCATCATTCAGAAACTCATGAGCCTTGTTATGAACCTTAATGTGAAGACGTTGGTAAATTATCTACATCAACATTTTGTGCATTGTTCAGGCAGCTATATTTCGGTTTTGGCAAAACCTCAATCATGGAATTTTGGTTTTACCAGGACAAATAAAAAAACTACACCTGGGTTTTGCTTTACATGCTGCAGGAATACGGTACATTTTACAGGTTTCTCATTCTTGCTAGTAAAATGATTAGCCTAAAATAATATTCTTTCTTCTTTAAATAATTCTGGCCTGATTTCTTAAACTAGGAGAGGAATAAAATGTAAAATAAACTATAAACCCATGCTTAATATTGAAAGCTCACATATTCTGTATGAATATGCATTTAGCCAGCCCCCAGCAATGCCCAAATCCATGTAAACACCTCTAATAAGCCAATCTGCAGCGCTGGTTGACTAACTGCACATTCCTATACAGTATGTAGATGGGTAATATTGAGGCTGGGGTTTGTATGTTTTAGTCATTTATTTTTTGCCACTGTACGGTTTTATTGTTGTAACACCTAGTTTCCTCACTGATCCCTGTCTGAATTTTTGTTACTCCAGCCCCTTATTTCATCAGGTCTAAATTAGATTTTAAACTCTTTGGGGCAAGGACCTTCTCTTCACAGCGATAATGGGAGGTAATGAGCACACTTTTGCCACTTGAAACAGTAATTTCAAAATGCTGTTTCCTATTAAGAGAGTAACCTGACACAATAAAGCTTCCTGCATTTTTATTTTTCTTGAGTCACTCAGCTTGGACCTTTGGTATATGGTTAGATGCAGGAACTGATGACTCCATACAAAGCTTTTTCTCAGTGTCAGTCTGGTACCGGAACCGTGCCAAGAGCTGAAGAACAGCTGTCTTCTGTTTCTCTTCCTTCTCAGGATTCTGCCTTAACAAGCAGCTCTATGACATCATTACAATGCGCTATGCTGACAAAAACATGAACATTGACTTCGACAGCTTTATCTGCTGCTTTGTGCGACTGGAAGGAATGTTCAGTAAGTGCCAGTCCAATTTTTACTGTCCTTCTTCTTGTGCTATTCCTCTCTCACACAGGAGCACGTGGTCCCTCCCAAGCAAAAATTGCTCTAAAGCTCTACTGAAAGCTTAATATCAGTGACCATTATGAAAATTAGCTGATTTCAATAATGAATGTCATCTGTTCTGCTGCAGTGCTTCTCTGTTGTTGTTAGCTATGAGTCTCAGGCTCGGTAAGCTCCCTCAGAGCAGTGGCTGTTTTATATTCATTAGTGGGGTGACCAGATGACCTGTTTTTAAAGGGACAGTCCCGTATTTAAACCCTCCTGCAGGTGTCCTGACTGTTTCAGGCAAAGTCAGGCAAATTATCCTGGATTTTCTGCCTCCCCCCCATCAGTACTGGTAGGTCCTGCTGCTGGCCAGATCCCTGCTCGCCAGCCGCCCACCCACCCCCAGCAGTGAGTGGGGGGAGGAGGTCCAGTGGCTGATGATGGGGGTGGGTATGCAAGGCTGGTGGCAGGGTGAAGCTGCAGTGCATGGGGCTGGCTGCTTCCCCTGCTGGTCCATCAGCGCATCCCTCCCCGCGTGCCAGCTCTCGGCCACCAGAGCCCACCCCCTGCCCTGTTTCTGGCCGGTCCTGGCTGCATGCTGCGGCAGCTGATAACTACAGGCAGGCGCCAGGCAGCGGCCAGTTACGTGTCGCCTCTGCTGCCCACCCATCGGCCCTTTACATATGCCTCCTCTCACGGTCCTCTCCCTGCTTTGCCCTTTCGCCCCCTAGCCCCGCTGCTCCTCTGTATCCCTAGCCCCCCAGCGGGGCACATCCTGCTCCCAGCGCTGTGTGGAGAACCAGCCCCCGGTCGGAGCGCTCAGCTCACCAGCAGCCTGGCCTGCAGGCTCCTTCCTCCCCCAGGTGCCTCTGGCTGGGCTGGCACCCCAGGAAAATTCAAGACCCTCTGGCCCAAGGCACTGGCCAGGAGGCGCCAAGTCCTGCATGTGCCAATGCCCTGTGTAGTGCGGCACAGTCTCCAGTCTCCGCCCCTCAGCTAAGCTCTGGAGTTGGGGGAGGGAGTGATTTCCAGCCTGTTCCTGCCCTGAACCTGCAGGCTCCACAGCAGCCCCCCAGGCAGGGGCTTAGCACCCTCTTCACCCCCCCACCCCCAACCGCCTGGGGTCCTGCCCCCATGGAGCGCGGGGCTGCTCTGTCCCCTAGGCACTCTCCCCTGCTGAGCCACCTCTCTGGCTGGTTTGCTGAAGCCCCTGCAGTCAGGGTCCCTGGACCCTGGTGCACAATCCATCCTGAGGGCTTAACCCCTTTGTGCCTGTACTATAGCTAGGAGACAGGAGGCAGCTGGGTTATGTCGGGGGGCCAGCAGCAGCCTAGAGGTGTTAGCTACCTTTTGACACTGTGCAGGCAGGAAGGGATAAGCTGCTTCTAGTCATGGGGGCTGGGAGAGGAAGGGAGGAAGAGATGAGTTCTGCAAAGACACAGGCCAGGTCATCCCTTCCTCCTCCCCTGCGGTTGGAAGCAGCTCCCTTCCCTTCCATCCTGCACAATGCCAAAAGGCTGCTGCTGGCCATGTTCTGGTTTGAACCCTGGCAGAAATTGGGGGGGGAAGCATATGACCCCCATCTCCCCCCCCTCCACACCCCCACATTGCCTCGGGAAGATGCGGCACCAGGTACTGGGAAAGGCGGGTCCGTCCCAGGGCCCCAGCCGGGCATAGAGGACGGAGAGCACGGGGTAGGGAGAGTCGGGTTGGTTGGTCACCCCCGCCCCCGACCCTGTGTGAGAGAAGGGTATGGGTGTGTGTGTGTCACCTCTTTCCGTGTGAACCCTAAAACCTTAAAGATAAGAAGGTAAATAAAAAAGAATCCAACTATGCAGTATTTCTTTTTAATTGGGGTTCAGTCAATGTTGATGTTAATTTGAACATTTGTACTGCATTTCTGACTGATTGCCATAAACTCACTTGAATACGAGTAATTTTACCAGGGGTCCCGTATTGAGCATAGGGAAATATGGTCACCCTCTTCATTAGTACTCCAGCAATGTAAGATATCCCATAAATAAAGCTACTATTGAAGGCTATTTGGTAGCTACAACTGGAGTGAAATGCAGCTGCTTAATATCATTAGCCGTAGGGAACAAAGTTTTTCAGCATCTTCACCTCTCTTTCTTTCCAGCTGCATATATTATTTGGGTACATTATTATTGGGTATTTCCTCTCACTCCTGTGTGCCACAATAGCATGGTCATCCTTGCTCATAACGAACTGGCCCTGTATAAATCCAGCTACTAAAGGCAGGAGGGCCCTCAACCATGCATTTTGCTTCCTTCACTGCTCTGACCATTTGAATCTGTTGTGCTACAGTATGTGGTGCGAAGCTGATATATTATCTCAGTGTTTCACTTGAAGGATGTGATTATGGGGTTACATGTGAGGTGGGTTAATTTGTTGTTTTAATAATTTCACATATGGGCTCAAGGACTATGTGACATGACAGGCACAGTGTATAAATCCCCAACTGGGCCTTGTTGACTACAGCTGAGGAACAACCGAGCAAGGACACTTAACAAGCCCAGTAGCTGAATAACAATCAGCACAATTCTATACAACAGATTGGGACTGTAGGTTGATTTGTTATACACAGGATGGCCTTCACTTTATCCATAGTAATTGTATGTACTTTGTATTGATTTGTCTTTCCTTAGGGGCATTCCACGCCTTTGATAAAGATGGAGATGGTATCATTAAACTCAACGTCTTGGAGGTAAATAATTTTACTCAGGTATTTTTCTTGGGTTATGGTCAGGTTGCGCACTTTTGTTCTTCTTCGAGTGATTGTTCACGTCCATTACACATTAGGTGTGCGCGCGTCACGTGCACGG